CAGGACATGGCAGCTGGTGCTGTGACCTACCCGGGCTGGCCTGCATTTTTTTCTTGCATTCTCTCATGTCAATGGGTACAGCAGTCTATCCCAGCCTGGTCTGTCCTTAGACCCAGCCCAAATATTAGCTGATGGATGCTACAGCCGTGCCTTGACCACCCTGCTCCCAACTCTCATGCTTATCAGTGGAAGCAGCAGCCCAGGAGGGGAGTCCAGGAGATTTCCCTATCAGGCCTGCTGCTATCCTTGGATCTTGTGTGTGCCAACAGGTGCTGCAAACCAGTTTGAGATAGCCTGCTCCCAGTCTTGGCATTTGCTGGCAGGTGCTAAGCTGGCTCAGCCTGGCCTACCCCTGTCTCAGCTCTCACTGTCAGGTGCAGCAACCCAGCTCAGCTTGGCCCATTCTCAGCCCTTGTGTAACTTGACATGTATTGTGGTCCAACCCATTCTGGCCTGCACACTGTCCTGGATCGCTCTCTTGCCAGTTTGTGTTGTGGACTGATCCAGCCCAGCCTGCCCCCAGAATTGCCTCACACATATGCTGATGGGTGCTGCCCCCGCCCTGACTCTCTACTCACCAGTGGGAGCTTCAGCCTAGCAGGGAGTTTCCCAAGTTCCCCTACCAGACTTGTACCAGCCTTGATGGTTATTGCTAGTGCTGGTGGATGCTGTGACCTGGCCTGACATGGCCAGGCTCCTGTCCTGGCTCTAACTGAAGGTTGCTGTGGCCTACTCCAACCAACTCACCCTAGTCCAGCCTGCTCTACTCCTAGACATAGCTTTCATGTGGCCCTCATGTGACCATTGGCTGTTGCAGTCTATCCTAGTCTCTCCCACATGCATTCTGTGTCCCTCAGCACCAGATATGCTATATTCTAAGGAAAACAATTTAGCAGATTGGTTTCCTGCCAGATATCATTCAGTAAATATCATTCAATAAAAATCACTAAGTAAAAATATCATAGTAAATAAATATGATTCAGTAAATAACATTTTGTGCTCACTTAGGGGCATTACTTTGCCTTTTATTTATAGCCACCTGTCTTTCTTGGAAGAATGTGCCCCAGCTTTCCTAGGGGATTCCCGAAAGGGTTGACAGTGCTGATCCCTGTGTATCCTGTGTGTTTGCTATGTGGCTTGGTGGCATTCTCACAAAGTTGTGTAGTTTAGATGTTCTTTTATGTTGTATGCCCTGATGCCTCTTTTTCATGACCCATTGTGCTTTGTGATATGACTGAGTTTGAGAGTTGCTTGAATGTTAGCGCAGTGATCCTGTGGCAGTCTCTGAGGTAACTGAGATGGCTACTAAGTGACCGGCAAGCAGGTGCAACTGCAGCATGGATACACTGGGCAGAGGCACAATCTACATTCGGGACAGGATGGAATGGATGGTGCAATCAGATTTCATTATGATACTCAGAATGATGTGCAATTTAAGCTTAGGAATTAGTTCTAGAATTTTCCAAAAACATTTTGAGATGATGAAAGGCTATGGTAATTTTAACAGAACAAAAGCTGTTCAAAGGGAAACTACTTAGCAGTGCTTTCTATTATCTTTTATTTTGTTTATTTGAAAGGCAGAGTGTCAGGGTATTGGAGAAATTTCATCCAGCTGCTAGTTTATTCCTTAAATGGCTGCAGTAGCCTGGCTGGGCCAAGTTGAAGCCAGGACCCTGGAACTTTGCCTATGTTGGTATTCCCCTTGCATTGCAGGGACCCAAGTACGTGAGTTTTCCTGTGCGTTAGCAGGAAGGTGTGTTAGAAGCAAAATAGCCAGGACTCAAACCAGTTACTTAGATATGGGATGCAGGTAGGTTATTTAACCACTGTGTCATAATGCCCACCCCACTAACACTACTTCTTGTTTCAAAAACTCCAGAGCCTATGATACTTGTTATTAATGCAGAGGACTGAATCTTATTTTTTCCAATTCTCTTTATGATCACTCCTTTGAAATGATTTTGGAATAGTTAGTTTGCTATATAATTCATTTATTATTATTTTAAGAATTATTAATATTTTATTTGAAAGGCAAATCTACAGAGAGAAGGAGAAACAGAACTTATGTCCAGTGATTCAGTCCCCAACTGGCTGCAACAACCAGAGCTGATAAGATCTGAAGCCAGAAGCCAGGAGCTTCTTCTGGGTCTCCAATGTGGATGCAGGGTCCCAAGGCTTTGGATCATCCTCTGTTGCTTTCCCAGGCCACAAGTGGGAAGCTGGATAAGAAGTGGAGAAGCTGGGATAGTACAAGCTGGTACCCAAATGGGATTCTGGCATGTGCAAGGCGAGGACTTTAGTCATTAGGCCGCTGTGCCAGGCCCACATTTATTTATTCATTTTTAAAAATTATCTGAGAAGGATGTGCATCCTAGTGTATCTTGGGTATACGGTTACATTAGTTATGGACATTTTATACATTTATCTTGCTTATTCTGTTGTACTGACTGTAGAAGTAGAAACATCATTGAGTCAATTTTAAAAGTTTTTCAGCTGACTTCAGTGAATGAAATATTTAATAAAATGAAGCCATAGGCATTTATATAGCAGTATAAAAGTAGTGTTAGGTTAGTTTTTGGTACATTTGCTCACTGCTTTGTGAGATAGCTGGCTTTGTATTAGGGCTAATGTTACTCCCAATTAAGACAAACTAAGACAACTGTTTGCTTTCTGGTTGCTTTTTAAACTTTTTTTCTTCTGAAAGATTTATTTCTTTTTATCTAAAAGGCAGATTTTTACAGAGAGACAGTGAGGTCTTTGATCTGTTGGTTCATTCCACACATGGCCACAGCAGGTGGAGCTGAACCAGGCTGAAGCCAGCAGTCAGGAGTCGTCTTCTGCTGCTTGCCCAGGCCATAAGCAAACAGTGAGTTGGAAATGGAGCAGCTGGGACTTGAACTGGTGCCCACATAGGATGTTGACCCCGGAAGTGGAAGCCTAGTTTATTATGCCTGGGACCAACCCCACGGTTTTTATTTATTTAAACTTTTAGCAGACACATAAAAATCAAACATATTTATGGAGCATCCTGTGTTGTGTAGGCATGTTTACATGTTGTATAATGCCTATTCAGAGTAAACGTATCTACTTACACATTTGACGTTTCTTCATAATGGAAGCAATCAAATCTTACAGATTCTTTCAAAAAATAGATATGTACTATGGTAATATTATGTGTACTTATCCTGATGTGTAATAAAACTCCAAATCTTCTTACTCCTATTGAAATGTAATGTAACACTTGTTGACAAAATGTCTTTCTCTGTCCTGCCAAGCGTCTTCCCCTCGTTTCCACCAGCTTCTGCTAATCATCATTTTTCTCTTTTATGAGACCTATGAGAACAACCTTTTTTCTTTTATCTTAAGATTCTATGTGAAGTCACATGTACTTGTTGTTCTGTGTTTGGTTTATTTCACGTAACATAATCGCCAACAGTTCTATCCATGTTTGTTAAATGTCAGAATTGCATCTTTTTAATGGTCAGATAGCACTCCATTGTGTATGTATATATGCACATTTCTCTTCATTTATCAGTGAATAGACATTAGATTGTTTCCATTTCTTGGCTATTGTGAATTCTGCTGTAATAAACATGGGAATGCAGATGTGTTGCTTAACAGACTGATTTCATTTGCTTTGCATGTATAGCCAGAGATGGGATAGCTGGATTGTACAGAAACTGTGTTTCTAGGTTTTTGAAATGCCTTCATCTTGTCTCCACGTGACTATACAAATTTAAATTCCCACCAACAGTAGGGGGAAAGTTTCATTTTCTTCCTCTCTGCCAGCATTTTCTACCTTTTATCTTATTGAATAGTGGCCAGTGTAACTGGTGTGAAAAAAAACCTCATTGCAATTTTGCATTTCCTTGATGATTGGGGGTGTTGAAAAATCTTTCCTATACCTGACCATTTACTGTATGTCTTCCTTTGAACGATGCCTGTTTAGACCAGAACATTTTTCACATTGAATTGTTTTTACTATTAAGTTGCTTGGGTTCTTTATGTAGTCTTGTTATTAGTCCATCAGACATATCACTTGCAAGTATTCACTCTCATTATGTAGCTTGTCTCTTCATTTTTGGCTGTACAGAAGGACTTTTTTTTAACTCTTATCTCAAGTGAAATCCCACTTGCTTGTGGGTTTTTTATTTTTTTTTGGCTTTGTTTCTTATGATTTTAAAGACTAATTTTTTAAAGATTTATTTTTATTATTTTTTCATTGGAAAGGCGGATATACAGAGAGGAGAGGCAGAGAGGAAGATCTTCCGTCCGATGATTCACTCCCCAAGTGAGTGCAACGGCCGATGCTATGCCGATCCAAAGCCAGGAGCCTCTTCCAGGTCTCCCATGCGGGTGCAGGGTCCCAAAGCTTTGGGCTGTCCTCTGCTGCTTTCCCGGGCCACAGGCAGGGAGCTGGAAGGGAAGTGGGGCTGCCGGGATAGAACTGGTGCCCATATGGGATCCCGGGCGTGCAAGGTGAGGACCTTAACCACCTGTGCCACTGCGCCGGGCCCGAGACTAATTTTTTTAAAAGTCCTTTTTTAATTCAGGGTTAAGTTTCTCTTTTGCCTGGGTGGAAGAATCTTTCCTTGCATCCTCAGCAGATCATTCGCTTGTATCTCATAGAGCTAGTTACATACCTAGTCCTGAATCAATTTCTGATTAGGGGGAATGAAATTTTCATCATTGACATAGAAAAAGCAATGTTGGTTGATTATCTGGAAGTGAATGATTAGCCATACCCCCATGTGCTTTATTACTGTCTTATATTAAATAACTCCAGTGGTTATCACAACAGGAAGTGCCTGATGTGTAGGCAGTTGTGCCCCTTTGTGGTTGGCGTAAGAAGCTGGTGATATGATTGTAATCTGTTAGCTGCTTACTATACTTTTGTCTTGAGTGAGATCATTATTTCTGTGATATTAAGATCTGTGATATTGTATGATTTTGTCAGTCATTTCTCATTGTTTTAGATTAATTGGAGCTTGTTCTTATAGGTGGGTTCTCCACAGTTTTCCTGGTGCGAACTCATGGTGGAATTCGATGTGCTTTGAAGCGAATGTTTGTCAATAATGTGCCAGATCTCAACATTTGTAAAAGGGAAATTACAATAATGGTAAGTGAAGAGAAATTCTGTTTTTGAAATTTCAAATTTTTATTGTTTTGGTTTTGTTTTGTAACATTTACTAGCCTTTAGTCAATCTTCTTTATTGGTTTATGTACTTTTTAGAAAACCTTCTAAGACTATTCAGTTGGGAATTTGAACTGTGGTAATGCAACAAGGTGGAGGAATCCACCATGGGGGGGGCTTTGAGGAGGGGCTGGGGAAATCCCAGTGCCTATAAAACTGTGTCACATAATGCAATGTAATCAATAATAATAAAAAGAATATTCAGTTGGAAAAATTTCTGGGAATTTATGGTAGTTAGGGCAGAATACAGCCAGCACGAAAGAATTGGAATCAAGAAAGATCCTACTGTAATTTCAAAGTATTTTGAAGATAGAAACATTTAGAGAGTGATCTGATAAACACTAGTTTTACTTGCCATCCAACTTTAGAAATAAAACCATCTAGATGCTTCTGAAGCCTTGTGTATTTCTCTTCAACTGTTCTGTGTATTGTTTTTCTCATCTGTCAAGGACTGATTGTCCTGATTTTGCTATTTACCATTCCTATACTTTGTTTTTCTTTTTTTTTTTTAAGATTTATTTATTTATTACAAAGTCAGATATACAGAGAGGAGAGACAGAGAGGAAGATCTTCCATCTAATGATTCACTCCCCAAGTGAGCGCAACGGTCGATGCTATGCCGATCTGAAGCCAGGATCCAGGATCTTCTTCTGGGTCTCCCACACGGGTGCAGGGTCCCAAGGCGTTGGACCATCCTGGACTGCTTTCCAAGGCCACAAGCAGGGAGCTGGATGGGAAGTGGAGCTGCCGGGATTAGAACCGGCATCCATATGGGATCCTGACGCGTTCAAGGCGAGGGCTTTAGCTGCTAGGCCATGCCGCTGGACCCCGTGCACTTTGTTTTTCAGTGTTGTTGTTCTTATTTTCATGTCTTCCAGTTTTTACCAAGTGATTGAACACATACACACATATGTATGTACACACATATTTTAATTACTAGTGTTTTCGGTTAAAATATGCATAATATAAAATTGGATGTAGAAAAACTCATTTGGAAAGCAGTGTTACAGAGGGATAGTGAGACAGAGCAAGATAAAGATAGAGAGAGAGACCTGGCTTCCATTTACTGGTTTACTAAAATGGTTGTAAATAGCCAGTGCCCATTCTGACTGCAGTAGGGAGCCACGAACTCCATCTTGGTCCTGTGTGAGTGGCAGGAAGTTGGATTGGGAAAAAGTAGCTGAGATTGGAGCCTGCACTCTGATAAGGAATGCAACCATCTCCAGCAGCAGATTAACCTGATGCACCATAAAGCCCATCTCTAAAATTACCCATTTGAAAATGACCAGTTCAGTGGCTTTTTACAAATCCCCATTATTGTACAACTGTCAGGTAGCTTTGGTTGTTTTCTGTCTCTCCTACCCAGTAAGTAGTTACTCTGTTTTTCTGCTTCCTTTAGCTCCTGGGTGCAATAAAACTATGCTGTATCTCTGTGGATTTATATTCCGGGTATTTCCTGTAAATGTCGTCATTTATGGTCATTTATGGCTTTTACCTAATATAACATTTTTCAAATTCATCTATATGTTAATTCTTCATTTCCTCTTGTTATTGTTGTTCTTTTTTTTTTTGAGACATAATTTTATTTGAGAGGCAGATTTACAGAAAGAAGCAGAGACAGAAGTCTCCCGTCTGCTGGTTCACTCCCCAAATGGCCACAACAACTGGAACTGAACTGATCTACTGATCTAAAGCCAGGAGTTTCCTCTGGGTCTTCCACATGGGTGCAGAAGCCCAAGGGCTTGAGCTAACTAGGCTGCTTTCCCACGCCACAGACAATGAGCTGAATAAAGTGGTGCCACTCAAACTGGCGCCCATATAGGGTGCAGTGCTGCAGTTGGAGCATTATCTGTTTGAGCTGCTGTGCTGGCCCCATTATTTTATTTCTTTTTCTTTTTCTTCTTCTTTATTGCTTCTTTTTTCTTTTTCATTGGAAAGGCAAATTTGCAGAGAGAACAGACAGAGATATTGTATCTGCTGGTTCACTCTTTCAGTGGCTACATCAGGCGGAGGTGAGCCTATCTGGGAGCCAGGAGCTTCTTTCTGGTTACCCATGCAAAGTGCAGGGTACCAAGGCTTTGGGTCATCCTGCACTGCTTTGCCAGGCTGTTAGCAGGGAGCTGGATGGGAAGTGGAGCAGCCAGGATACGAACTGGTGCCCATATGAGATACTACACTTGGAGGAGTCATTATGCCATCCCCTATTTCTCTTTAAGGCTGAACTGTAACGCTTCAAAATATTGATAGAAGACAAGTGAAATTGAAAGTTGTACTTGGTAAAAAAGTTTGGAAGAGTTCTCTGCACACCCCGCTAAAACTGTTATGCGCCTCAACTGTTGACATATGCTTTGTTAGAGTTATAAACCAGTTCGGACTAGCCTAAAATGCGCCAAGTTCAGTAAAAATAATGCTTCAGTACTATACACTGCTAACTATAAAAATGAAAATAGACAAGAGACAGCTGAATAGTACTCTATAGCCATTTTAAGGTATATAGCAGCCGGTTGTGTATAAACTAAAATTGGAATGTCAATAAAGTAGTCACAAGACGTGGTTAAGAACTTGCATTTTCTAACATATTGGTCACTCAGTACTGTGTCAATTAACTTTATGATGTTGTAAATTGTGGACGTTTTCTTGTGGTTTTTCATTGGACGGGATGATATTCTGCTAGCTCTGAAATCCCAGAGACTATGAAATTTTATCATAAAATGAAACGAAAAAAAAATTTTTTAAAGTTTAGAAATTAAGTTTTTTTTCCTTCGTAAAGTGTAGTTTTTATAAACTTCTTGAAGATGTCTAGTATTTTTTAAAACTAAATTATTCATGTATTTCAGCAGACATTAGCCAGTAGCTCAAATTATATTGAATAGTTAAAACTAGGATTGTTAATATAATAGTGTATGTGGATTCACTTAAAATAGATATTCTTTAATTATTTTTAAACTTCCAGATAGATCTGGTTATATTGTTAGTATTTTTAACCACATATATCCTGATGACTATTCAGATATTAGGGGCGAAAGTTTCAGATTTTCCATTTCTCTTAGTGTTTCTTTACAATTAATATTATTAATGTAATGCTTAATTTATGGTGTCTTATAGCCATCTTTTTAGCCAATTTTTAGATTGTTTTATTTGTGTCTGTAACTCTATGTAGTGACTCTAAGTAAATTGTAATAAATTGAAGACAGTGAAAGAGCATAATTGTTAATTCATAGTTTTATTTATTTTTTTAAAGTTAGTAAAAAGTTTTTTTGCTCTTGATTCTCAAAGGACTGTCTTGTTCTTTTGCTTTGAGTTTTTTTTGTTTGTTTTTTCTCTCTTTTTTAGGGTTTATTTATTTTTATTGGTAATGCAGATCTACAGAGAGTAGGAAATAGAGAAAAATCTTCTGTCTGCTAGTTCACTCCCCAGGTAGCTGCAGCAGCTGGAGCTGAGTTGATACAAAGTCAGGAGCTTCTTCCAGGTCTCCCACATGGGTACAGGGTCCCCAAAGCTTTGGACCATCCATGACTGCTTTCTCAGGCTACAAGCGGGCAGCTGGAAGGGATGTTGAATAGCTGGGATATGAAGTGGGCGAATATGGAATCCCGGCAGTTGCAAGGCGAGGATTTAGCCATTAGGCTACCTCACCTGGCTCATTTTGAGTTACTTTTAAGGAGACTGTCTTCCTGGTTGAATTGAAAACTGAATATTCATTGACTGTTTTCCCGATATAAGATGACAACCACATGTGATAAACTCTGTATTGAAATCATGCAAGTCTTTGATATATTCAGATTCTGTACTTGTGCCTAGTTCTTTTTCAAAATCTTTATAAATGATAATTTATACTTGCTTAAATGATTGCTTAATGATATATTTGAAAATATATTTTCTCTAATTATTAAAATTTTGTTTCTTTATACAGAAAGAGTTATCTGGTCACAAAAACATCGTTGGTTATTTGGACTGTGCCATTAATTCGATTAGTGATAATGTGTGGGAAGTGCTTATCTTAATGGAATATTGTCGAGGTAAGTGCCTTTCTGCGTTTGTTACACTAGAAAAATCCCCCTTAAAATGAGTTAGTATCTCAGTGTCTCCCAGGGCAGCTGTTACCTTTCCTGGCCGCTAAGCACTGCAATCTCAGCTTTAATTTTCTAATTAGGATAGTTGTTGCAGTTATGAGCGTGTCATTGGAAAGCTGGAAAATGCTGTTGGACTTAAAACAGGAAATATGAGCAGATCAAGAGTTAGGCTTTGCTTTATAGCCCTTCAGAATATAATTAATATGGACATAAAGTATCAGTAGCAGTGTTGTAACATTTTTCTAGCACTCTACTGTTTTAATTGTACATAAACTAAATTGGCATACTTAAGGAATGCATTTTGACCTATAAATTTTAAACATCTGGGTGATTTTATTGTTTTGAAATCAGAAGATGAAGAAAAGTCACATTCTCTTTGGACTTAATGTGATATACATATATGTACACACACAAAATATATAAATATATTTGTAAAAATATGTGTGTGATTATGTATATGTATGCGTGCTGTATTTATTTGAAAGGCAGAGTTACAGAGAGAGAACTGTCTTTTCATCTGTTGGGTCACTCCCAGATTGCCACAGAGGTCATGGCTGAACTAGGCCAAAGCCAGGTGTGAGGAACAAATTTTATTTTATGGTAGAATTATAACTCAAGCTATATTATGAGGAGAGCATTCTTTTGTCTTTTAAGATGGTTAGAGCTATTTGGCATTTGAGTCAGCAAGCTTCCTTTTATGTGACATTTGAAGTTTTTTGTCAAAGTAATTTATGTATATGGTTTAGAAATTCCAATAGTTGCACTGAGCCAGATCTCTACTCTGAAGTCCCACCCCTCTCCTGTGAGGCAGCCACTTGAAAGGACTAGGAATATTTCTTGTTATACTTTTCTGAGTGAGGATCAGTAGTTCTGTTTTAATCTTGAGAGAATGAAAGAGAAAGAACTTGGAAAATCAGAGCAAGTATGTGATTCTGGGCATTCGAAGGCTCTTCAAAGAGAAGCTTGCTAGTCCTGTTTCTGGATTGAATGTTGGAATGTTGTATGTTGTACCCAAGACATTCTCACTTTTAGACTCAATTGATGTTTGATTTTGTTTACCGCTTTGTGGTAATGTATAATAGTCTACAATAATTTATTATACTTCTTATTTTCTCCTAAAATTAATAATAACTTTTTTATTTGCCTAATTTTCTTCATATGTGTTGGCATTTTAGGCCCACAGTCCACAATACAGAGACGTATTTTTACATTCGTATGCTTAGACAGTCCAATATTCATGTCCAATTTTGTTTTCTCTTTCCTTGGAAACATTCCTTGGGGAGACTTCTGCCCTACATAACTTGCAGTAGCATTTCGTTGTCATTCTGGGAACTCTTTTGCCTTCTCTATCTCAGATTCCCTGATCTTCATGCCTCCCTCTTGTGTCTGCTTCCTTGCTTGGAGGGTTCATTTTTCCATGGCTTCCTGATAGCGGACTTATGGGAGGAAACTTTGTGAAACCTTGAATGTATAAACACGCCTTTATTCTACTCCATGCCACAGCGTTGGCCCCAGTAGCTTTTTTTTTTTTTTTAAGATTTATTTATTTTTATTGGAAAGGCAGATACACGGAGAGGAGGAGAGACAGAGAGGAAGATCTGTCTACTGATTCATTCCTCAAGTGGCTGTAACAGCTGAAGCTGAGCCAATCAGAAGCCAAGAGCCTCCTCTGGGTCTCTCATGCGGGTGCAGGGTACCAAGGTTTGGGCTGTCCTTGACTGCTTTCCCAGGCCACAGGCAGGGAGCTGGATGGGAAGTGGAGGGATTTATTTATTTTAAAAGCAGTGTTAGAATGAGAAAATTTTTTAGTGATTTACTGCATAGGCGGCCTCAGTGGGTAAGGCTGGTTGTTTCAGGCTGAAGCTAGATAGAACTCCTTCTTGGTTTCCCATATGGTGTTTAAAGGGCCCAGTACTTGAGCCTTGTTTTGCTGTCTTCCTGTGTACATTACCAGGAAAGTGGATTAGAAGTGGAACAATCAGGACTTGAGCTGGCAGTATCATACGAGATGCCAGTGCAGGTGGCAACTTAACCTGCTGCCCCTAGTGCTGGTCTGGTATTTCTGATGTCTTAATTTTCGTGACTTTTCTTATATCCTCAGCATTTTTGGCAGAACAAACTTCGTTTGTATTGTCTTAAGTCCAAATCTTTTGTTGATTGTGGATATTAGTTTCAGTTTTTTTTCTTTCCCTTGTGTTTTTCTTTTGTATCAATTCTTTTATAGTGTTAGGCTCTTTTCCTTGTCATTGGCTAATGTTACCAGCTGTCTTGCAGAGCAGAATGTGTTTTCTGAATGGGCATTTCCATCTTTTTTTTTTTTTTTAGATTTATTTTTATTATTTTTTCATTGGAAAGGCGGATATACAGGGAGGAGAGACAGAGAGGAAGATCTTCCATCCGATGATTCACTCCCCAAGTGGGCACAATGGGCCGATACTATGCCGATCCGAAGCCAGGAGCCTCCTCCGGGTCTCCCACGCGGGTGCAGGGTCCTAAAGCTTTGGGCCGTGCTCGACTGCTTTCCCAGGCCACAGGCAGGGAGCTGGAAGGGAAGCGGGGCTGCCAGGATTAGAACCGGCGCCCATATGGGATCCTGGGCGTGCAAGGCGAGGACCTTTAACCACTTGCGCCACCGCGCCGGGCCCGGGCATTTCCACCTTTAGAGAGGGGATCAAGAAGACCTGAGTGTGCTCTGTTCCTTTTTTTAGATGAATCATTTAGATATTTTTTCTCCTGTAGGGAAACAGTAATTGGGAGGGTTGGATATTGGTGGTAGTTACACTCCCCATGCATCATCTGTAAAAGCTGATTACATAAAATAATATGATTTAACCATGAAGGTACTTTTTTTTAAAAGAAACCCATGAAATATATAAGTAGTTAGGTTTTGATTATGTTGGGATAAAGCTGGATAAAATTCTGGTAGAAGAATGTGTTACATTGCTCTTAGACTCTATATGTTTTCAGAAAAATCATGGTGCGATGATGTTTCATTTGTGATTATTCCAAGTCACAGATTAAAGATATGATATAATTAAGTACCAGACTTTCAAATATGTTGGTATTTTGAATATGTTTCTATTGTTTTATCTCTAATTAGCTAGTAAATGATGAAAATGCTTACATATTTAGTTGTTTTTTAGGAAGTATGCTACTTAGGTAAGCTCCTGTGAGCTATGTGTTTCAGCTTTTGTGGGTTAAAAATCCCCAAACTCAGTAGTGTGAAACAGGAGCTGCTTGTTGCTTGTGAGCATCTCTGACCCTGCTTTCCTCTGAGTTGGAGGCTGGCGTTGCTGGCTTTGGCTGCGCCGGGTCACGTGCCAGTGTGTTAGTTTGGATTGGTTGGTATAACTATTGTGTTTTGAGGATGGGTAAAACCTAGTGGGTGCGTGGGAGTGCATTAGCGGATCTTTGGTCAATTAGGATTGGAGTACTATCACTTCTGCCCTTTTTTTTTGGCCAGAGAAAATCATTCCTGGGCCAAATCCAAGGGCAGACCATTGTTTGTGCAAGGTCCCCTTGCAGCTGGACAAAGCAGCGGACCAGGAGGGAGTTGGCAGTATGGGGCCAAGGATGCGTGCAACTATAGATAGAATTAACTCATCTTGTGTACAAGCAAGTCAGAGTATCAAAATTTAAATGAAACAGAAGGCTGTAGCTAGTGGTTTTTTAAAACGAAGTAGTAATGAAAGTTGTACAGCTTTGAAAAATACTGGATTTTAAAGCTTTGTTTAGGAAATAGGAAGTATGCAAAGATTTGAGAGGAAAATCTACTTTAATTTTAAAGATTCATTTATTTGAAAATCAGAGGTATAGAGAGGGGACAAACAGAGATACTCTGTAAACTGATTCACTCTTTTGCTGGCCAATGGGTCAGGCTGAGTCCAAGAGCCAGGAGCCTCATTCTGGTCTCCCCGCATAGGTGGCTGGAGTCCAAACACTTGGGCTCTCCTCCTCCAGTTTTCCCATACTGTAAGTGGAGAGCTAGATGGGAAGTGGAGTTGCTGGAACCATGAACTGGCAACCATGTGGGATGCCAGCAATGCAGGGTGAAGGATTAGTGTCCTGCACCATTATGCCTGCTCAACATTTATTCATTTTCAAATGACAAAAGTTTTATTTTTATTAGGGAATTTTTTGCATGAGTCACATATTTATTTGTCTTATGTAATTCTGGTGAACTTTTTTTTCTTGTTTTAAACTACTAATTATTATAATGTATTGGGTAACCATTTTCTCAGGGCTCTTTAAGTTCAGTGAATTACTCTGATTAATTATTTCTTACCGAGGTTACAGCATTAGCCTCATAATGTACCACGTTTCATTCCTAATTCGATGCCTCCTCTATCCACCACCAAGTTAGATCTTCAGGAGTTAGATTAGGCAGATTTGCTGATTCTTAAGATCCCCTGTCTGCCTCCTCAGTTCCCTCCCACTTACTGTCTCTGGCTCCTAGACCACACTGCCATTCAGGTTCTCTGCGAAGTGGAGCTCTTTGTTATATATTCTGTTATCTTTGTTTGCATATTCTTTGGCTGGTTCTCTATTTTGATAATTTCTCACTTATGTTTCAGTCTCAACATAAATGTTAGTTCCTTAGACAGACCCAGTCTGATGGCACCCTTTCTCTTTCCTCCTGCATCAAATTATTTATTTTAAAAAGATTTATGTATCTTATTGGAAAGCGGATTTATAGTGGAAAAGTGAGACAGAGAAAAAGATCTTTTATTTACTGTTCACTGCCCAAGTGGCTGCAGTGGCTTGAGCTGAGCCTGTCTGAAGCCAGGAGCCAAAGGCTAGAAGCTTTTCTGGGTCTCCCACACAGGTGCATGGGCCCAAGGCCCCAAAGCTTTCCTCGCTGCTTTCCCAGACTGTTAGCAGGGAGCTGGATGGGAAGCGGAGCGTATTGAATCCCATATGGGATGGCAGAATTTACCGGCTGAGGATTAGCCAATTGAGCCATCATGCTGCCCCCTCCCCTTCCTTCATCAGTTTAAATTCGGGTTTTCTGTATTAAGTTTTCTTATATTACTGTTACTATAGATTATTATGATTGTTGTCTGTCTCTGCTGTTAGACTGTCATACATGGTAATAGAAATTTATTTTTGTTCAGTGCTACTTATTAGTAAGTAGCTCAGTGTTGTGCTTTTTTACATTTGATATACTATGAATTAAATGGTATTTTTTTATTTCAGAGATGTTAACTTTTTTGAAAAAATGTCCAATTGAAGTAACAGGAATTTATCTGAAGGTGTTCTGATCTTAGATATGTTAAAATGTAAGAAGATTGATGTTTTTGAATGAATATGATATATGCAACATTCTTATACAGATTATGAAAAAGCCAGTTTCCCATTACCAAAAACCATGGACAGATTTCTTAATTTCTCGATGGTATGTTTCATTTATTAAAGATGTGTCTTCTTAAAATTACTTTTTGATTCTATAGCTGGGCAGGTGGTGAATCAGATGAATAAGAAGCTGCAGACAGGTTTCACGGAACCAGAAGTTTTGCAGATATTCTGTGATACCTGTGAAGCTGTTGCGAGGTTACATCAATGTAAGACTCCAATAATTCATCGGGATCTAAAGGTAAGAACTTTACTTCTGAATTGAGGGACTCTTCAGGCTTTAGAGTTAGAATGTTCTTGGAATGTCTTCATCTAAACCGTTTTTCTCTTATCACTATTTCTGAAACTGGCCTCTGTTCCTTATGTGTTTTCTGAAGTCATATGAAGGCACACAGGTTTGCAGCTGTGCCTTGCTTGACCCTGAGGTGTTCTCACATGACTGTAGAGGTGGGTTTGTGAGCGTCCCTCCCGAGCAGCTGTTCCCACGTGACTGTAGAGGCAGGTTTGTGAGCGTCCCTCCAGAGCAGCTGTTCCCATGTGACACTGTAGAGGTGGGTTTGTGAGCGTCCCTCCAGAGCAGCTGTTCCCACGTGACTGTAGAGGTGGGTTTGTGAGCGTCCCTCCAGAGCAGCCTTCCAGGTTAGCATTTCTCCTCTCCCCTGCAGTCCAACTGGCAGAGACTACACATGAATCTGTTTTCTCATTCACTATTTACTGTGGTTTTTGTAACTTAAGTGTGATGATCACTTCATCTTTCCTTCCTGTTAGCTCTAGTGCTCTTATGTTGGTACTTTGCTATCCTGGAAAAAAATAGCCCAAGAGAGCTGAATATTTCTGTTATCATAGGGCAAGATATACCATTTAGAACCATATGTCTTCTTTAATGTAACAAACACTGAGATTACAAAAGTAAGTTTTCCTGAAACACTTCTTGACTGTGCCTTGGTTAGCCCCACATTACCCTTCCTTGTGTCCGCCAGCTTTCACCATATAATGGAGACGTTATCCTAAGCCACCTTATTCATTCTTGCAGCCTAACATTCCTACTTTCTAATTAATCGGTATTTTATTAGCACCTGCCGTTTTCCACGATGGCCTGTGATTTCAATGCCTGTTGTTGATAACCTGTCCTTTCCCACTAAAATGTCAGCACCGTACGTGAAGTAGACTTTTTTTTTCTGCTGTGTGGTAATAGCAGAGTCTCCATAAATATTTAATGAATTATTGAATTCCATTTCTGTTAAATACAAAATTTTATGAAATGTAGTTAGGACATGTTTGCCTTTAGAGGAGTGAAAATAGTAGCCGCTTCTCACAGTATAGGTGGTTAATCATGAAGTCATCGTCCGGGCTGTCTGGTGTTAGGAGACAAGGTCAGGGATTGCCGCACAGGCCCTGTGCCTTCACTTGGGTAGCCAGTACAGTTAGCGTGGTTCCTTTGAATATGCAGGTTTTGCATTCGCCCTAATATTTGCTATGATTTTTTGTGTTGTTTAGCTCATTTTTTTCCATATAAAGTTGATAATTTCATCTTAGTTTTCTTGACTTAAAATTCAGAAAAGAAATTAAACCGCATAATTTGGTACGGTACACATTCCAAATCCTCCTTTTTACATGTATACCTTTGTTGTAGACATATATTTAAGTACATTTGTATGAATCTTTATCTTGTATATTTTTAAAAGCACACTAGAATGTATAATAAAAAGATGAAGAAATTGAACTGCAGCTATTTTGATAGAAGGGAAAGAAATTAATTTCTCATCAAACTGCTTCATATGTGTAAAACCTCACATGAAAGACCATGTACCAATCACATAGTGTGTGTGTGCTTGCTCTATTCCAGGGACTTCTAGGCACTTGGAATATTTTAACCCCTTTGATTTACCCCACATTCCCACGCGGTAGATAATGTCATTGTTCCCATTTTGTAGATAAGGAAACCACAAGAGTAGGTAGGCATATTGTCCATGGTATAGAAATGTCAGTAAGTAGCAGATTGGACTGTGATCTCATAGTCTGTTACTGAGAAGCACAGTGTGTGCATCATTTAGTTTCTGAACTCTGATTTGCAAGTTAAACAAAGCCCAATTTGTGTTTTCCAGTGTTGTATTTTACTTTTTTTTTAAAAAGATTTATTTATTTTTATTGCAAAGTCAGATATACAGAGAGGAGGAGAGACAGAGAGGAAGATCTTCCGTCTGATGATTCACTCCCCAGGCGACCGCAACAGGCGGTGCTATGCTGATCTGAAACCGAGAGCCAGGAGCTCTTCCAGGTCTCCCATGCTGGTACAGGGTCCCAAGGCCTTGGGGCCGTGCTTGACTGCTTTCCCAGGCCACAGGCAGGGAGCTGGATGGGAACTGGGGCCACCGGGATCAGAATTGGTGACCACATGGGATCCCGGCGCGTTCAAGGCGAGGGCTTTGGCCGCTAGGCCACTGTTCTGGGGCCCCAGTGTTGTATTTTAAATGATGAAAATGATATCAGGAGTTCAGAGGCAGAATTTAAATGATTTTTATTATTGCTTGTCTTTTTAAAGAGTTGTTTATTTTTTATTGGAAAGTCAGATTTGCAAAGAGAAGGAGAGACAGAAAGATCTTCCATTCTCTGGTTCACTCCCCAAGTGGCTACAGGAGCCAGAGCTGAGCTGATATGAAGCCAGGAGCCTGGAGCTTCTTCCGGGTCTCCCACGTGGGTACAGGATCCCAAGGCCTTGGACCATCCTCTGTTGCTTTCCCAGGCCACAAGCAGGGAGCTGGGTGGAAAGTGGAGCAGCTGTGACATGAACTGGCGATCCTGGCACATGGAAGGGAAAGACTTTAGCCTCTGTAGATAACATGAATGATCAAGAAAAGAAAAACATTGTGATTCAATTAGAAATCTGGGCTCTGCTTATTGCTAGTTTTTCTTATTTAAGCAATTTAAGAGAGGATTTATGGTTTCTAGATTGTTGCCCAAAGCATACTGGAAGCAGCATTTCTCTGTGGGTAAGAGAAACCGTAGACACAGTCAAGTGTGTGTCTCTCTGCGCTGTTTGGCTTTCCACGTAATTTGAGGTGTTTTATGGATACACATATATATGGTGCTGCCGCTTCCATGCTTATTGAAAGGGTTGTAAAATGTTTTTACTCTGAAAAATACTGAACATTAATTTTCTTTTCTTAAGGTAGAAAATATTTTGTTAAATGATGGTGGAAACTACGTGCTTTGTGACTTTGGCAGTGCCACTAATAAATTTCTTAATCCTCAAAAAGATGGAGTTAATGTAGTAGAGGAAGAAATTAAAAAGTAAGTGTCTTTATTTTACTTTGTTTCTTGGGAATTATGTCTGTGAGCATCTCTGTAATACAAAGTCTGGATACTGTACTAGAAATTTCTAAATTAATTCTAGACATTTACTTATGTCTGATTTAGCTTGATAGGATATATATATCTCACCATGGATGTTTTTATATCATGAATAAAATTACAGCAATTTATAAGGTATAATAGTGAAGCATTGAGAGAATTTTAAGTAAATATTGAGCCCAGTTAGACATTTTTGTTTCTACTGAGGATTTGTCCTTGTGAAGGAAGGTTAAATTACTCAGTTTATTTCTTGATTAATAGTAAGAAGACTGGCTTCTGTATGCAGTGAAAAATGTGTAGGATACAGAAGCCTTGAGTCTTTGTCAAGTCACAGTTACTGTGACAGTATGCTGAAAGGCTGTGCTGGGGATCTGAGTCACACCTGCCTTATGTCTCCTTCATCCTGTATGGGCCATGGTTGCTCTGGTACCTGTGAGATCCCTTTTATCTGACTTATGAGGGTTTTACTTTGAGTTTTAGAAGAGGAAATTAAATTGTTTGTGCATCTTAATTACCTTAATGCAGGATGTGGAAAGGACTGTTGGAATAGAACTTTCTTAGACATTGCCTTTGTCTTGCATTGCCTTCTTAGAGCTCATTTGTGTGTGTGTGTTTGTGTGTGTGTGAGAGAGAGAGAGAGAGAGAGAAAGAGAGACTGCATGAGAGCTGTCATTCAACTGTGGTAGTTTGAAATAAATTAGAAGTGGAATTACTCTGGCCCATTTTTTTTTCTTAGAAACTTAGCCTATGATGATTATTTTAGATTCCATAAAAATAATATCTTGATAAATACACACATGTTATGAAGAACAGAAAACTAATAAACGATTGAATTGGTTTCTTGGGGATATTGGCATATACATCTTATTTTAAAAATGAATTGTGTTGTGGTTTTTAGTGATTACTGTAAAACTTCACTCAGGCGTCTCTGATCTGCTTAGTGTTTTGTTTCTTGTTCTTGCAGTCTGAGTGTAGTTAAAGTGCAGCTGAGTTTTCTGTTAATAATGAAGAGAACTTCGCCAGGGGTCTCATGTTTTATACCCCTTTGAGAAGTTAATATCTTTGCCATTTATGTTGAGTGATTATATATTAAGAGTAGACAATATTCTTAGTGCTGAAATTTAATAGTTAACACAAGTCCTGTCCTTATGCAATTTATATTCTAGTTTCTTAGGTCATTCCTCTACAGTAGTCTTTCAGATTGCCATAATTACAATAATTTGGAAACTAAAAGGGAAAATGCTAAATTTTAAGATTGTCTTGCAAAATAAGATACATAGTAAAAAGGTATTCTTGTAAATTATGATGCATAGTAAAACCCTCAAAAACAAATCGGTTTTTAAAGATTCATTTTATAAATAAATAAGAAAGGCAGAGTTTCAGAAAGAGGGGGAGAGGCGCAGAGAGAGGTCTGCCGTCCTTTGGTTCACTTCCCAAATGGCTGTGTGAGCTTGGGCTGGACAGGTCTGTAACAGGAGTCCGGAGTGCCTTCCAGGTGTCCTACATGTGTGCAAAGGCTCAAACATTTGGACTACTTTCTGCTGTCTTTCTAGCCACAGTATCAGGGAGCTGGATTGGAAGTGGAGCAGTCAGGACCCAAACCAGCACCAATGTGGATTGCTGGCACTGCAGGAGGCGATTTTAGCTACCGTGCCACAGACCTGCCTCCAAAACAAATCTTAAATTATGTCACGATATGGGAATTCCATCCATTCTTTGCTATTTTCTGCCATAAGATTTCAGCACTATTTCATTTAAGCATTCTGGTCACCGAATTGATAAGTATTTACTTATATTATTGTTTAATTCAAAAAGCTTTTGTTAGCAGTGAGTTGTGAAAATGTTCATGATGAGTATAGTGAGAATTATGGTAATTAGATTGTTTTTTAAACAGCAATTATAAACTCAGAAATTTACTACTGTATGCAAGGAAGTTTCTTAGCACCCCTACAGACTTATTCTCGTGGTTAAGATGTCCATGCCCCATGTTGCAGTGCTTGAAGTCAGTGCCCAGCTGGGCTCCTAACTCCAGATTCCTGCTAGTACAGACCATGGGAGACAGTAGTGATGACCCAGACAGTGGGAGAGCTGCATTGAGTTCTTGGCTTTTGGCTTTAGTCTGACCTAGTTCTTCCTGGCCTTTAGGGGCAGTTGAGTGAACCAGCTGATGGAAGCTCATGCTTGCTTGCTTACTCATTTTTATTCTGTTTCTTAGGACGAAAGAAATTTGTGTAGTAAACTTATAAATTAAACCTTTGAGAGGGTAGAAGACTTAATGTTAAAATAGTAGTGAAATGTTGTGATCAAGTTATATAATAGTTAAATTATGTTATTCCGTGGAAGAAATTCAAGGGAAACTCTTGAATGAATTGTTACCTAAAATCTTTTATAATCAATAAAGAAAATTAAGCTTTTATATCATCAAGGATTCTGTTATTGTGTTTGTTTAATAAAGATGAATACAGATTTATTTTATAACTTAATTCTTGATGGGTTTTTAACAAGCTTTTAAATAGTATTTTTTCCGCATAATGTTATAATCTGAAAACTTAAGGTATTTTTTGTAGAAAAAATGTTTTGTTTCTTTTTATCTGTACATAACTATGTTTATATCTATCTATATAAATACGTATATACAATTCATTCATTTACCACCAGGTATACAACCCTGTCATACAGAGCCCCTGAAATGATCAACCTTTATGGAGGAAAACCCATCACTACCAAGGCTGATATCTGGGTAAGATCAAGGAAAACAACTTTTCTCTGATGAAGTAAAATGTCTTGGTTGATCAACTCTTTTTCTCTGTGCCCCCCCCCCAAAAAGACATATCTGAATAATTAAGGGAGTGATGTTGTATAGAGCTTCCTATCTGGAAGAGGGAACCTGCTAGGATATTTCATCTCCTGTCTTGTTTGTGCATCAAAAAGCAAAGAGCTTATTTATAGTTTTTCACCACAGTACTTTTCAAGGTTTAAATTATTATGAATGCTAGCGATTTTTTTGACTGAGTATAATTTTGATTGGTTGTAGTACAGAAAAGCTGGAAACAGGTTACTTTTGTGGAGTATTTAGGATACTTTTCTGGATGATTTAGGATTTTCTTAGTAGAAACTGGCATTTGCCAACATTTTTTTCTAATATCAGTTGGTATTACTAACCTGTATGTATTGATGGTTTTTATTGTTTAGCATCTGTGGCATACTACTGGGATACTGAATTATTGAGATCTTGTTTCAATATAATTAAATGTATGTAGGAATGCTAAGTGATTTACCTAATAAGTAAGTACATTTTTGTGTTTAATAAAAAGTAGAGAAAACAATTTAGTGGAATAGGAAAAACTAATTTCTTAAAATTAATATTTAAAAATTAAATTCAGATATTATTTTTCCCTATCTAGCACTAATGAACATTTGAGGAATGAGATATTTTTTTGCAAATAGTTATAGGATTTACAAAAAAGACCAGATTTTTTTAAGTGATCAAGCATAGTAGTTCTTACTTATGAAATGAATATTTATTTGAATTTCATTTCTTGGCCTCTTCCCTACGGTAGTTGGGGTATCATACAAAATTTTGACAGCCAAAGGATACTTATAAGGTCATCTTTGTTATAATTTCATCTGCCGAAATAATAAATACATTTTCATGAGGCAGTGATTCTTGTGTTAGTTGAATTTTTATTCAGATAGATGATCAAATCACATCACTAGTATGTCTGTTTTTCTTAATTTGATGTATGTATAGGCCATCAGCTTGTATAACTCCATACTTTGTTTACCTTCTTTATCATTTACTTCTGACTGATTAATTGGGATTTTGTATATCTGACGGTTAAACATACAATGTAGAAATCACATTCAGCTGACTTATAAAATCAAAGTATTGGAAGATGTGATTGTGGAGTTCTTTTGTGCCCTTATTTTGTGGCCTTATTTTGTGGCTGCTGTTGAATTCCATTTTACTTGAAGAAAGTACTTCAGTTGTAAGTAAGCAGCAGATATAATAGCTCATTTTGATAGTAAGTTATTCTCCAGGTACCAATTGTTATCCAGTGTCTAAACAAAGAAGGTATTGTGCATATGTGTGTGTGTATGTGTGTATTTGTTTTTAGTAGTATGTGTTTGGGGTGGCATAGTACATTGTCAGATTTATACCATTTGTACATCATGTAGTATTTGAGTTTCTATTATGTTTCTATGATTAACTAGATATAGCTGTGAGATTGCAAATAAAGACACACAATCAGAAAACAGTAGCTATATTTAATATTCTTAGAAGAGAATTTTAATTTATGATGCCATTATTATTCTTTTTCTTTACTTAGCTCTCCTGAAAAAGTATGCTATAACATTTTAGGTGTGAATTCAATTATATAAAAACAAATCTAATGTGTCAAGAGTTACATCTTTGACCTTGTTTTAGTATAATATCGATTCATAATTATGCTAATGTTAGGTCCTCAACCAGTACTGTGTATTTTTGCATAAATTGTTTTTGTATGTAGAGATTCCCATTGCATTTTATTTTTATTCTGATGCTAAGATGCTGTTTTTATTGAGCAGGTGGTTCAGGAAGAGGTGCTCATGTTGCCTTTTAAATGAAGGGAATTGTAGATGTTGATACACAGCCTTCAAAATTAGGTCACTTGCTCCCTCTTGTTTCTTTTGTAATTCTCATTGCAGTAAATGTATAAAAATAAAAATGCCTTTGGTGTGAAAAATTAGGACACCTTATAGTGTTCACACTGTGCATAGTATTTAGATTTACATTTTTAAAGTATCTGGTGTTCCAAAGATTATTGGATGGATTCCCTACAACATTTACTGTACCATATGACAGATTACTAAAGATTTGATTGACAAGATTATATTGGCTAAATGCAGATCTGGGCATTGGAAAGAAAGATGTAATTTAGTGACGCTATTCTACCATTAAAGGGACTTTTGTAATGCTTTTATGATAGCCTTATGTTCAGTTGGCTTTATGTTTGCTGAAAGCATTTTCTCTGTATCATAAAGTAACACAGAATTCTAACCATATTGAACTGATTATTACTTTTCAGAATATTTATAATTTTGTCATATCCTTAATATGTGAATACATTGAAATCTAGAGAATTTTGTAAGTTTTTCTTAAAATTAGAAGACTGCCATAACATTGAAAATAATGTTTTATATGCTGCTATTAGAAGACATATAAAGAATTTTTTGTATATAAGGATCCTCCTAGTGATTATGATAATTCATGTCCTTGTTTACTAGTTGTTCTTGCTAAATTGATATGTGGAGAAAATCCAACAAAAAGAAGCTGATTTTCCTTGTATTTTGGTATTAAGTTCAAATTTAAGTGTTTCTGATGCAATTGTGTATAAACTGTTGAGTAATTATATATGGTTTGTTTAGAGTCAGAAAGACTCCATATACTTAACATGAGAGTTTCAGGTGACACTTTTGTGACAAACTAGAGATTAAAATGATTAAAAATGGTCATTTCTTTTCTTTGGTTTTTAACTGCTGCTCAGTTTGAGCTTTAGCAGTTTAGCTTGAAATTTCCTGTTTCTTTTCTAGGCACAGTTTGTGCTTCAGAGTGTTCATTGTAAGCAAGTAGACTTGCAAATCTTGTACTGCTTATGAAACTTTAAGCAGACAATATCTTTTTTGAATTTTAATATTGCTTATTTATGTTACAAGTATAATTTGTGTAACGTAAAAGTTATAGGATTGCACATGTAAATAAAGAACCGGTTTATTGTGGTAAGTATGTACTTAGTAAATATTTGATAAACATTTATTGATAAGTTATCTAAGTTTAACTGTACTGCCTAATTCATATCTAGAAACCCAGGATCTTTAAACATGTTTTAAAGTCAATTCTTAAAAAAGTGATTAGAAGGAGCCTGTGTTAACTTTTCTGATTATATGTTAACTAAGCCCTAAATGTATTGTTTGTTTATGGAAGAAATGAAAAATATAAATACTTTTTTCTAAACACATGATCCAGTTTTAATTGTAGTGATACCATGATCTAGAGTGAGACAATTAACCCTTTTTGAAAATTTAAGGTTTAATCCATGTGAGGCCCATGAAATAATTTTGTCTGGTTCTGCCAAGGAAAAGTGGGAGTTGAAATTTGGTAAATCTATGGCAGGTGACTTTTTAAGTTGAGAATTTTGTGGAGCCTACAGATGATATTACAAATATCTGAATGGCCCTTGGTAGAAAAAAGGCTCCCCATTCTTGACTTAAGCAATGGTTTGTAAAAAGGTTGATTTAGTATAGGAATATTAGGTATTGCTTTTCAGTAACATGCTTAGTTCTGGTTCTGCTCTGTGGTTACATCTTGGGGTTAAGTTGTTTACTTGTGCCTTGATGATATTTGTGGTTCTTTGTCCTACAGGCCCTAGGATGTTTACTCTACAAGCTCTGTTTCTTCACTCTTCCTTTTGGTGAGAGTCAGGTTGCTATCTGTGATGGCAGCTTCACCATCCCAGACAATTCTCGCTACTCCCATAACATACATTGCTTAATAAGTAAGTACCTGGAAATCTTATGAAAAAAAAAGTTTGTAAGATATTTATATCCCTTTACTGAAACCTGTACTTTTATTTTCATGTATTATGGTTTTGTGAAACTTAAGAAAACATCAAATAAGTTGTTTAAGGAGTAAAAGCAGCCTAATCAGTGAGCAGAATAATGGTGTTTTTGAGTCCTTAGGTAATATTTAGTACATATAGCAGAGGTTATGTACTTAAGGAAACTGGCATTTCTGGGAATATGCAGAGCATAGCATTTCATTCCTTGGTCTTTGTCCTTTTGAAGTCAGGTATCTAAATCTTCTGCTAGTTTGTATAAAAGTTTTGCTAATCTAAGACTGTAGCTCATCTTGCCACCCTTTTAAATGTCAATATCTTGTTGATTATAAAGTAGTTAGCATAGAGTAACCAAAGCATACAGTTAGAAGGGGTGGGCTGGCAGACCTTCCAATTCCCCCCAGAATTTCAGTTCTCCTTTGTGAACAAAACATGAATTTGGATTATGCCTCATTCTTTGTAATAAATTTTATGTAAATAAAATGCTAAAAATTAAGATGAAACAGTATACTTGAAGAACAGGGTAAGTTTTTGTAGAACTCCAAGAATTGCTAAGAAAAGATTGACCAGTTGACATCCATATTTACACCAAAAGAAGCTTTCTTAAATGCTTTAGTGTAAGCATAAAGTCAAATAAGAAATAGTAAATGAAAATAATGCTTGTTAGGCATTTGACAAATGGCTAATCACTTTATGAGAGTTGTATAAATCACAAAGAAAAGGAGTACTTCAAATAAAAGGTAAAAAATGGCAAAAAAAAAAACCACCCCAGAAACATTAAATGAAATCACACTGTCCAAACTTATTTGAATACAGTTTTAAAATTTCTGTGATCTTAATGTATCCATACATATTGGGAGTTGGATGATTATATTGGTTTAAAGTTATTTACTATGTATTGTGTGGAGTATTCTTTATAGTCTAGGAGATATAGAATAATGGGATGAGTAGAGTAGTGATATAATTTTCAGGGGAAAAGAAATGGCTTAAGCTTGGCTGCCGCACTCTCAGTATAAACACTTTCAGCTCTGTTTTGACAACATTTAAATGTGAGTGCCTGTTAGTGGGATATTCTCCGCTAAGAGCTGCCTCTCAGCACAGGCTGTTTAATAGCCGTGGGGCTTCACTTTCATCTTCTCTGGTGGAGCATCCATGAACCTTGTTTTGATGTGCTTTTATGTACTTGTGGCTCCCTGCCAACCAAGCTTAAGTTGTCTGCCTGGCAGTTCAAGTTACCTTCCCAGGTCCCAGGTAGAATATTTTTTTTTTCATCCTTTGATGAAAAAGTTTTATAGTTTTATTTTTACTTAAAGGGAAATATTTGAGAGGGAGGGAAGGAAAGATAGAGAGAAGGAGGAGAGGGAGAAGGAGAACTGTTTGCTTGTTCACTTTTAGCATGTCTGTTCCATTTGGGGCTGGCCCTGTCCAAGCAGGCCAGGAGCTCAGGGTCCAGTTTGGATACCCCTTGTGAAGTCCATCACCTGCTGGTTCCTGTTGTGTTTTTTGGCGGGGTGATTGAGTCAGGAGTAGTCCTGGGACTTTTTTCCAGACCCTCTGATAGGGGATCTCTATATTCCAAGGGGCAGTCTGAAGGCCTGAAGGCCTGTGCTCAAAAAGTGGCAGCATTCTAAATCATCCACTACAGCATTGTTGGTTTTCCTGGATCCCTGTTGGTCTTAGTATTCCATTTTTCCAAACTGATTTTTTTTGAAAGGGAAAGTAAGCATTTAGAGTATATCTGAATAAATGTAGATCCACTATCCTATATTTCTTAATTAGATGCTTTCCTTCCAAAATTCAGGGTAGTGAGAATATGAAAAGATTCTGATTAATTGAAACGCTCAAGGACTAGAATGAGGTACTGCCTGTTGTGTGTTCTGCTTAATTTGGAGCTTAAACTTCAGTTACAGTACTTTTAATAAATTGTAGGCATAACACTGTTTGTTTTAACTAAATATGTTTTAGTCATATTTGAACTTTTGATAAACATGAGATAGACCATAAAAAGATATGTCTTTTTAGTGTTGATGATGATATGAATACTGTTAGCATCCATTTTGTATCACCCACAGTTGTTGGACAGTGGTTGTGATGATCTCTGTTACGTTTGTGTTCAGTGATTACATGGGTATTTGAGTATACTTTTTTGAGCTAAGGGACTATTACTGTTTTTATGTATTTATCTTTCTTGCAGAATTTCTTTTCTTAATCAAATTAATTACTTAGCATTTTTGTTTGTCGCTTCTGATAACTTTCCTAATAGACAAGTAATGGAAGTGGGGTAGAGGGGAAGCACTTTGCATTTGAGTCTAGGAGTTGAGAGAACTTAGAGCTCCTTTAGGGAGAGTATGAGAAGCATTAACTAAAGGGATGCCTGGCTAGTTAGGAAGAGCGAACAGAAGGATGGCAGCCTCACTTTCCTTTTAGCTTTTTCCTGTGTTGTAAGGTGGTTGAAGAAGTAAACCGTAGAGCCCTTACTCATCACCTCCACAGTTCAACAGCCCGAGTTCACTTCTGTTCTGACATTCACTTTGTAGAGAACGTTGGGTACCACTGTTTGTCTCAGTGTCACTGTTCGTAGAACGAGTGGTTTGTGCAGATACTATTAGTAGTAGTTAATGATATTGCTATTGTGAGAATAAATATAGTGTTGTTGTAAAAATCAGTGAATTCTGTAGAGTGCTTCTGAATATATTGGAAGGCTTGGTGAGAGATGGCCTTTAGTATATTTCTCATCAAGACCACTCTGCCCGCTCCTGGAGTCCTCATTCTAAACTCTCTGAGCTGCCTGGATTTCGGGTTGCCTTGGTGCTGGTCAGGACGTTTTCTGTCAGGTACTTCTCAGGGTGTCCAGTGCCCTGAAGCAGGATTTGGTTTTGTTGTATCACAATTGAATCTGTTAAAGGCTGTCCAATAAAAGTGCAATATATCCCATGATGCACTCTTAAATCTCTGATATCATTTTTTTCACCTCACCTGTTTTCTTTGGAGCTGCTCATTTACTCTTGCTTTATTCATTATTTTAGCTCTTAGCATCTTATCTATTGAATTAAATTTAATACCTATTTTGTGGGAAACTAGGTGTTTGTTTGCTTGCTTTAATGTACTTAAAATTATGTGAAAATTTAAAAATATTTACAAATAAAAATGAAATAGTGCAATGTGTTTTTGCATACCTGTCAGTCAGATTCCCTGATTATCAGTTCATGGCCAATCTTTTATTTATGGCTCACCCACTGAAGATCCATTAATTTGTCTTTAGGAAGACTCTGACATGGGAACACAGTTTTTGTAGAGGTTTTCACTCAATGGCTGTGAATTATCACTTGGGGAGACACCCAGGGATATGAATAATATCATCTAGGGTTATTTACAAGAACTCTCTTAGAATACATATGTTTTAAAATTTGAGAGGGCAGGAGAGAGAGAAGCTAAATATAGAGCTGTTTCCCACTGGTTCACTCTCCACATGCCTATAATGTTGTCCAGGCTGAAGTTGGGAATGGGAACCAAGTCTGGGTCTTCTGTGTGAATGCCAGGGACAAGCGCTGGAGTCATCTCCTGCTGCCTTCAGGGTCTCTGTTACCTGGCAGCTAGAATCAGGAGCAGAGATGTGACTCCAACCTGGCCAGAGTGTCACATGCCCTCCCCTAGCTTGGCATATTTATAGTACCACTTAGTGTTTTAGTTATGATTGAACATAATATTAACTATTACATTTGGTTTCATTTCAACTCAATGGAGTGAAGTGTGCGGGACTTACATGCCTAATATGTAAGCTTCTAGAAGGATTTTTTGTGGGTTAACAAAAGGACAATTTAACGCTAATTTTACATGTTAAAAATTGAAGTTAATTCTTGAATATTTTTGTTTACAAAATTAGGTGACATGTCTGTTTTCAAGTAAATTACTAGAAATGTAACTAAGTTTGAGAAAATAAAAGTATATGTTGTTGAAGAACATTCAGAATTTTTAGCAGAAAATTTATTGTGAGACTTCAAAGCATTTTTCTTTTAAATTTGTTCTGTTGTTAGAGAAATTAACTTTTATGCAAAACTAGCAAAAAAGGTTCTATTATTTTTTGTAACTTAAATGATAACTATTTTATTTAATTTTTTTTTGGCTTGGGTCCTTGATTAATTTCTAGTATAACTTGGCTGCTTCTGCAGCAGTAATAGCAGCTCTTTTTGCTACTCTTTTTTTTTTTTTTTTAATGTGTAGGATGTTGTGCTTTTCTGCACTATTAGTGTAAACATACTTTTGCTGGCTCAGATATGTGTTCTTTAAATGCCTGTGGCTGATACCTCAGTAGCAAATACTGCATTGGTTTTAATCATGATGTTTTGTGGTTTCAGCTTGGATTAATCGTTCTTGTGTCAATGGAAAGATTTACAAAAGGATGAGAAAAATATTTCTTTGTAGCACTTTAATTTATTCATTTATTATTTTTTTTTTGCAATTTGATTTTATCTTTGTGGTAGAATCACGGCCAGTGGTAATGGGTTTGTGATGTTTCACACAATCATTTAAATTGAGTAAACAAGAGTATGCTGCTCTGCTTTTTTTTTTTTTAACAATCACTTGGAGTCACTTTTGAGTGAAATAGGCGTACATATTCCTTAATTACTGTTTGCCTCCATAGGTAAACAGTCAAAATACAGGCATACTAAAAATACTTTGTAAAATTATCCTTAGGGCCACGTATACAAGGTTGATGTACAATGTAAGTGAAATTCATGTTCAAGCCTGGTCTCATATCAGTACATGTGTGAAAAAAGAACCAAATTTGAAGCATTTGTGCTGTCAATATTTTGAATAAGGGATACTCTACTTGTGTTGATAAAGCAAATTATGGAATGGAATTTGCTTCAGAATCTACCAAGATAAGTTATTCTGTATACAAGTCCAGATTTGTTGTGACTGAATCATAGGCAATGCTA